GAGTACGGTAATTGCAGTGGCATTTGCCGCATGCCGCAAGGGAGAATGCCGCGATAGGGGAGAAGTTCCGTTACCCGCCTATCAATGATGTGCTGCGCGTTTCACGCTCATCCGTGGGTATTTGGCCACAGATTCCTCTACCCCTCCTCATCGATGATCGCTGACTGCTCAGCTACATTAATATTATTCATAAATCAGTGCATAGTAAAACATAGAATAGTAGAAGAAAGGTTGCGCCATGAATGTGCAACACCTACGGATCTGAGTAGATACTCACCTCTTCTAACACTGTCACGTCGTCGTATTTTGCTATGCAACACCAATTAATAACAGTGACTGAGACGATGAATACGAAAGAGAAGAAGATAATCCAAACAACCAAAGCTCCAAAATAATCGATGACATCGAGATGTTGTTTCAGATCTATTGACATGCTGAATACTTCCTGAAACATTTCTTCAAGGAAATCAATAAATAATGGGTCTGAAAGGTATTAGTCGAAAGAGATTTTGAGAAACAATGAAATGTTTGTCATGTCAAAAGAGCGGTGGTAGTGAAGAATCAATGTAAATAAACAAGGACAAATAGGTAGTGCAAATGGTCTGTCTAACTGAAGATCAGCAAAACAAAAAGAACTAACTGAAGTCAGCTGCAGGTGATAGACAAACTCTGTGAAAGTAGCAAACACTCAATTGAGCTAAAATTAGATAACGACGGTGAGTTCCTGTTTTTATAGCCGAGCACCTTCACGGAACAGAAAACATGACGGACATTCTTCCACGGCTAGTCCATCGGCATGAGCCATGAAAACGCTATGAACATTACGTGGAATTCCCTCAATTTCTCGTAGGGAAGGTAAGAATGAATTCAGAAAGAAGGGAGAGAAATGAACAGTGTAGAAGAATATCGCATAAAGGCATCTTGGCAGTTCCAGAATCCATTTCTGACCGGTTTCCACAGCGAAGAAAAAAGGACAGTCGCTCATTAACCTTTCAAGGTAATCGATTGAAATTTTGTTCACTGTTGTTCATTCATTCAAAATTCTCGTCCATCTGAATTTTGGACTATTCCGATCAAATATTCCAAATCCAAATGGCATTTTAAACACAGAACAGGATGAAAATGATTGAGCATAACATCCCATCACAATATGTTCCTATTCCCCCAAACTACACCAACGCGAGAGTTCTCGGTTCAACGTGGGTATTCTGGGTAAATCTCGTAATGATTAGAGGTAATTCGTTCCAAGACCGAAACCCTTTGTCCTGTTCAAGCCCAACTCGTATGGTTACTTATCTCCACCTTTGCGTAGCCTCACACCTGTACACAGAACTAGGATTTTTGAAATTTCAGCAGAAGAGGAGGAATCCGAATGAGTGAGGTAAATGTGAACTCGATTACCCTAAAATGTATGTGCGGTTTTATTACTCAATTTCTCCATCATTTAGATCTTACAACTTTAGCCCTTCGTCTTGGAAACGATTTCTCCTTCATGGATCTGAAAGATGATGACGATGTAGATAATGAAAAAAAAAATGGAGCCGCTATTATCTATGGATTTTTAGGATAAGACGTAAAATAAAAGGATGGCATCAGGCTAGTCATCTTGGTGCAGTGATCTTTTGGAGTTGGTTCACGTTTTAATAATAATCTGTCAGTAGTTGTTTACAATTGCAAATTGTTGAATAGGTGTCCGCGCACTTTATTGTTATTGATACAAAACTCATGAGATTTTACTTTTTTTGATACGGAAGTTTTTGAGCTGTTACAAATTTCTTTACACTTTTGTTCATGGATTAAATATGTGATGAGATTGGGAGAGTAAAATGTCTCAAACGTTCTGAATCTTTTTGATTTTATTTTTGGTTTTATATGAAGTCGTAAATGCCAAGCTGAAGAAACCAGTAACATATGCCGCCGTTCTCGTGTTTTTGGTTACAGACAAGTCATATTGTCAAGAAACTGATGGGGAATGGTGTAACCTTCATTATATTGAACTGCTCATGAATCGAGAGCAGTGTAAAACACTAAAATTCATTTCAAATCAAAATATCAACTAAAAGATGTCAACAGTTG